GATTTTTACCTTGATGTGATAAACATAACCACATGAGAAGGCTCTCGAATGGCGCTTCGTCTGCTTGAACATGGCATATCCACAATTAATTTTTTTTCGTTTATTTACTTACATTCCTTTTCCATAAAATTAAAATATAAAACAACTACTACTCGCAACAAGTTTTAATCAATTTTTCGGTGCAGACTCCGTGAAAATATGGATAAGGATAACTTTATTTAATGTCTGAAACACGAGAGTGGACGCCTAGTCTTCTGAGCCAGAGGCTTGTTATTAAACGCTCGACAAAACCTACATTGAAACAATATGTACATTGACAAACGATAGAGAACATATAAGCTATAATTAACAAATATTCACCGAAGTGGAAGTAAATACCTAACACTTTCACTGACAGTAAGGTGAATTCCTGTTTTAATATACTACACAGCAACCAAAAAAAGAGTACTTTATTTCTGTCATTATACCATGACCAAGAAATAGTGACAAGACCATATAAGGTGGCTGAAGCACACATGAACCAGATCCAAGGAGATTATGTTCAGCTGACTTAACTGTGAAAAAAACTGTCAAATTTAAAATCGTTTGACGGTCAGGCATATGGCCAGAGGGCAGTTTATATGCTGATAAATTCTCCTTTGATTTTTTCTCATTTTCGCTGATGCTTAGCAAAAATTCCCTAAAAAATCACTAATCAAAAACTAGAAGTGCCCAAACGTGCTTGGTTTTTATTTTAGCTCGTTTTCTAAAATCAGTTTTTCGCGTCATTGTCTCTTAAACCGACAATAGAGTTCTCTTTGCAACAAAATGGAGCTTAATAAGTTTACACACCCCGTGGTCTGTCGGATGGCTGGCTACTGTCTGCAACACTAATCAAACACGCCATATTATTTGTGTTCAAAGTGCTTTATTGTACGTATACATTTCCAGTGCTAGCAAACAGGCAAAGGAATTTCCAAGCACGGCAGGCTAATAAATGATAACAATAAAACGGACATGATAACTTTGAAAACTAACATTTGTCATTGGCATAACATCTGGGAAAATCTTCCAATTGCTGATTCAATAGTAAAATTCTGAGCTTCGTGAGGACGGATGCATTCGACATCTACATGAAATAAAGATTTCGCAAAATTCTTTTGTTCAAGCTGTCTGCTATGATTCTACTAACAGTGTCATAGTGTAAACTGGAAAACTCATGTGCATCCGCAGTCAGAGGCTTACGACAAAAAATGAAGAGCAAGGCCCACAAATACGAGGGCCACACCCGTGTTTAGTTTTCCTGCTCCTGCATGAGAGGACGGATCTTTTTCACCGGGACAGAATGGATTAAAGGGATCAGGCTTGTGGGGCTTGCTCGGTGCACAGTACTTCTTCATTAAATCTACCTGACACTCCTTTGCCTTCATGAAATATCTGAAAGAAAAAAGCAGTTATTACTGTTATCGTTTCAATTGTGAGGTAAATAAATCTTTGTTAGCTTTCATTTAAAAACTGAAATAGATAATAATCTTCGGCGTACAGAGCCAGATGATCTATGGAAATTTTTACCAAGAGGTTTCTTTTCCCGACTCAAATGTATCGATGATGCTTTTCATTAATCATGAAGATCTAATGTAATGTAGTTATTTAAGTCATTCGTTCCTAGATACGCTGTGGAATTCAACTGTTTTCATGTAACATTTCAGGAAGAGTATTCCAATTTAACGAGTTAGTCTTGGATCTGGACGGATTCATCGCAGTTGAAATTGCTACCGCTGAAGTTTAAGTTATCTAGAAGAAAGGCCTCGTCAAGAGCTTAGGCATGGCCATGTGATAGAATTCCTAAAGAAAACTCAGAAAAAAAGCTCGTTAGAGCGCGTTTTCTGATTGAATGTCTTAAATCAAAACCAAACTTATTACAACAGCTAATTAGATTTCAAAAGAAAAGAAAAATACAAACGGCCAGAAGCGCGGTAAAACACAAGTAACCAAGTTTTGATTGGTTGAGAAAGTGGCGGGAGTTAGTTTTTAACCAATCACAATGCTTAATAACGAAAATTGAACCAATCCCAGATTACTTTAACCCTCATTTGAGTTTTGGTATCTTACTTGCACAAGTCCTCTGGTTTAGCCTTGGCCTTGAATTTGTCGTGGAACGGTTTAGCACAGCCTTTTCCATTGTCGTAAAACTCTTTCTTGCATTTCAGCAGGTCAGTAATGTTCTTAGGTAGCCCTGTGACATTATAACCATTTCCGTCCATACCACACATCAAGCGGCCAAAATTGTGAATTCTGGCTTTCATGTCGGCCATTCGTCTCATTGGTTCCATCATGCTGTGATGAGTTTTCAGGTAATCACCATAGCACTGGTCGAGTGTAAAGTTCCTAAGGCAGCCCATGAAATTCATTAATTCATGACTGAAAAAGTGAAAAAAAAAATGTTTTAGTCAAAGAATCGAAAATGGCAGAAATTTTATTTTCAAGTGATGGTTTGTTCATCAAAGAATATTTTTCCTCGATTCTTCTCGTTCGCGATTTCTCTATATCAAGCCCCTTTTTCTCCAAATGCTTTG